CTTAAATTTGTGTAAAAAATTGATTTTTCAACTGATATGTTTTAAAACATAATCTTGTGTCCAGGACTGTGCGGGTTGCTATGCAAGTGCCGGTCGTAATGACAAACTCCTTGGGACAGAAGATCTCCACTGTGGCCGTGCAGTCAGCGAACTCTTCACTCTTCACTACAGCGCCCACCAACACCGGCTCAGCAACCGGTGCAAACGCACCCAAAGTCCTAATCCAGACCATGCCAACAATGGTTCCCGCCACGGCCGAGAACGGTGACAAGATCACGGTCCAGCTCGCCAAGATAATCACCATCCCAGCAGCCCAGCTCACACAGTGCCAGCTACAGGCCAAACCGGGCATCAATCTGATGGGCGCCTCCCTTGCTCTCCGAGCCCTTGCGCCCATGTCTGTGGCGCCGGGGGCGCAGGTGGTCAGATTGGCAGTTCCAGCCCAGCAGAGTCCAGCTCAGGGGAAGACGCAGGTCCCCGTTTCAATCCAGACGCAAACTCAATTCCCAATCTCCGTTCAGATGGCATCTACTCCGGCATCAGTTCCAGTTCAGATCCAGATTCAACAGAGCCAGCTTTCTCCAAAAGCAATAAGCGCAGAGTCGAAACCCGACAGCACTTCGGCAGAACAGCCTGAGCAGGACAATCCCACACAGGAAGCAGCAGCAGTGGTGATCGAGGAAGGTTCAAATCCACAGACTGAAGCAGAGAGCTGAAGAGTGATGCCTTTTGTCAGTCATGAACAATAATAAATGAACTTATATTCCCCAGATACCATTCAGTCACATTCTGGGAGTACAAACTGGAGATTTGTTGACTTGTACAGTTTCGGAGTTCAATTGTGGTTTCATTTTATATGTAAAAAAAAAAAAAAATCAGGCAAAGACCACAATTCTCACATCATGTGGATTAAATCTGGATGTCCATCATTTCAATTATGAGTTATTAAAGGGACCAATGTAAAGGACACTACATTTCTCTTTTTAAAAAAAAAAATCTTAACTTTGACACTAATAACAGCTAAGCATAACACTAAGGAGTGAGTAGTTGAAGTAGTCAAGTATGTGAACCTTTGAGGGAGGATAAATTCAACTTTTTATAACTGGTATAAAGTTTTTTTTTTCTTTAACATTTAAATTGCAAGGCAAAACCAGCAGTTTCTTTTGACGATCACTGTGAGCGCACGCTTTTGCCTGTGTTTCACAGGAACGTGTTGATTCTCCCTCCTCCTCTACTAAGGGAAGAAATGGACTGTGTATATATGAATTATACAGTTTACTGAATTTATAAACAATGCAGCCTTAGAACAGTTTTGTTTTTGTCGTTATAAGTCAAGCTTTTTAGGCTTTTGTGTTATGCTCATGTTTTGTGCGATGTTGTTTTTTTTTTTCCCCCTCACACATTGTACCAAGCACAGTATTATTGGCAAACAAACTGCAAAGCATTTTTGCATTCTCATCTCAATCATCCAGATAAAAAAAGACCATACTGATTAGGTGTAAGTACATCTGGATCCAAATCCTGGAATGATGCCAATTCCCCCCCCCCAAAAAAAGGTCAATCATCAGCATGCATCCTCACTTCAAATACATTTGTTGCGCATTTTTCTTTTGATTTTATTAGTCCTTAAAGAGGGAGAAGAAGATGTTTGTGTTCAGAATAATCTAGTTTGTATATTCAACAGTTGAAGTATATTCTATTTTGTTGTACTCTTGTTTCAAAGTGTACTTAAGTAGATTTTACTCGAATACAAAAAATATTCCTGAATTTGAGTGGTGGTGTTTTTTGATATATCTGTGTCAGCTGCAGAGCTGTTTTGTTTGTTGCATCTTGGGTCGCTATTTTATGATCGCCAACAAATGACAACTTTGAAAGATTTGCGCTTTAGATGCATTGAAATATTTGAACATTTACTGCTAGACAGACCGCTTGCAACCGCCAGGCTAAATGTGATTTATTCTAATCTAAACTAGATTAAAAACAGAGTGGGAATTACCAATATTTTCCCACTAAAATATTATTCTTTGAAAACTGTTTCTGTAATGTTTATTCATATACCCATTTTACAATAAGTGGAGGCTAACGGCTGCTTCGCAACCAGTTTTTTAAGTTCTGGGGCTGGTTGCATAAACTATGTTAAGACTTAAGTCTTAAGAGCTAGTTTGACCAACTAGCAGTGATTCATCAATCTTACTTTTAGTGTTAAAAATTAGATGACTTATAAGACTATTTTATGCAACCAGCCACTGTGTGACTGCCACTAGGTGCTAAAATGCAACATTCCTATGCAAATGTCAGAGGAAAATATGGCTTTTGGTGAATTACAGCTCACTTTTTTATCCTAGGAAATACAAACTAGGAAAAAAATCCATATAATAATTGCAGAACAGAATTGGGACTATGTTTGATACCCATTGATAATAAAAAATCTAATTTTTAATATGCCAAGCTGGGTCAAAGAGACGAACTGAAACACAAAAAACGGATAAAAACAGGACAGAAGCAAAAACTGCACGGCAAAAATCAAACTGGCAGAAAGTCTGACCACAGACTAAAAACAACCAGACATAGTGAACACAGCCTAAAGCCAGATAGTCCTTGCCAACAAAAGGCGGCAAGTTAAGCCCCAAGTGCACTGAAAATGAGGCTGAAACTGAGTTCATACACCCACACAAAATATGAGCACATGCTTTACTGGTTTTGCATTCTAGCAAAAGAGATTTCAATGGAAATCTAGTCATTACGTCATTGTGCTACAGTCTGCAGCTAGAAGTTGTATTTCTTGGCTGTGTTCATGCAGTTATATATTCAGCCACGAGGGGGCAGTGTGTTTACTAGATGTGTTTATGGTTACATTTTTTGTGTGATCTGGCCAGAAACTTGACCTTTCCACACAGACACTCTACACCACAATCTCTTAAAGCTCCACGAGACATCCTGTTCAGGGTTCACTCTTGGTTTTTAATAGTTAACTAAACCCATTATCATTACTTAGAATAAAATCAAATAAAATTAATGTTAAAATAAATTATACTATTATTTTCTAAACTTATTTTTGTTTGCCAAGTTGCCAAGATGGGATGGAGTTGCAACCTCTTTCTGTAGTGGCCTTTACAGCTAAAAAAAAAAAACAGGCTCATAAAACTGTTTAACCCTGCAGGAAGTAATAATGCATGACTATAAAATTATCAGCTCAGGTGATGGGTACTAATAGTTTACCTGTCTGAAATGGATTATGTAGACTCTGGTGAAACTAGCTGTGAAATGACCATTTTGGGGATGTTCCACAAAGGAAATGATTCATTAATAAGTGAAGTGAAAAAAGACTGTTACATTATATGCAGAATTTGATACCCTCCCAAACATACTTTATTTTCGTCAATATGAAATACCACAATGCAACAGTTTTATTTGTGCACACTGTCATGACATTGCCAACAATAAGACCAAAAAATATTTCCAGCGTGATTTTTTTTTTGAGTCATATATTAGGAATAAAATAAATGTAACATTTTGCTTTTAAACCGACATTCTCAAAGTCAGGAACATAGAGCTTAAAGGAATAATATCACACAAAACTGAATATTGTGCTATCATTTACACACCCTTATGTCATTCCAAACCTTTATGACTTACTTTCCTCTGTGGAACACAAAAGGAGATATTTTAGCTAATGTCCAAGCTGCTCTTTTCCATAAAACAACAATTTTACACTGGTGAGCTCCACAGAAATAGTCCACATGACTATAGTATGATTTAGAGCTGCAAGATTCTAGATCAATTGAGAACCACAATTTTTTTTTAGTCTCAAATAGTTCACGATCCTCCCACAATTCTGAACTAAACAAAATAATGTGTGACAAAATATTATTGCTCTGCAGTCGAGATTTAAAATCACACAGATTTGAATGATCCAGTATGATTTTTTTCAAAGGTTTAATAGACGGGTGAATTGCTGTCATTTAAAAATGGGATTGTGTGGTTGTTTGAATCGAGATCGTGATCTTTTAACGATTAATCGTGCAGCTCTAGTATGATTATATTTCTGAAGCCATGCCATAACTTTGTGTGAGCAACAGACTGATATTTAAGTTACTTCTTGCAGCTCTTAAAGTCTCTTAATGTCAAACCTGATATGACAAGTCTTGAGGCAACACTTTTGATTGCAGTTTGAGCAAAAATGGAATAGAAGATTTCACACAACGCTATCGTATTGTATGAACAAACTGTACTTTGTACTGTACAGACTACTTTGACAGTGATTTTTATGCTTCGTGAAGGTTTTATTGTGCTGTAGTCTTTGAAAATGAAAATAAATCTCTAAAGAAAGCGAAACAGAGGTGAGCAAATGAAGACAGCATTTTCATTTTCGTTTTTGTGTCCCTTTCGGAATATACTGACTGAATCGTTAATTAGTCATGAACAACGCAAAATATTTAGAAATGCTGTGCCAATGCAAGTCTCGACTGCAAAATAATTAGCACGTCTGTAATTACTGGGAAACAAGCATCGGATCCTTGAAGCTGAAGTCACAGACGAGGGAGAGGTGATCTGAAGGGTAGTTATAGGAAGGAAGCCTATTGGGTCCAATTTGTTCGGCTGTAGGAAAGTCCAGAACCGCATTAACATCAAACGCTCTGTGCGAATACCACACGTAATCCAGCGTGTGGCAGCTCTCGCCACTGGGCCGGATCTTCCACGTTGTGTAAGGAGGCTCGGTTTTCCCATCTGCACTCAAATGCTTATACGCACTGTCCAATCCCAGACTAGATGTTGCGAAATTCCTATAGACGTCTTCTGACGACTCGGCATTAAAATCGCCACATACGATCAGAGGAACGTCGGTATCTGTTTTTTCTTCGGTCTCGATTCTCTGTGCAACGTTTCGTAGGTTCCGTAGCAGATCCGAGCCCTGCGCACTGCGTAGGACCTCCCAACCACTCCGTGCCTTCAGGTGCGTCACCGCGACACAAAACGCACGTTCTGTTGCTCGGCAGCGTAGAGCGGTGATGATCGCCACCTGATTGGTCTTCAACATCATGGCGGACAGTCGTAAGTGTGTTGTGTTTAGTGACTGGAAGCGTTTGTGATTGAAGAACAGAGCACAGCCGTCCGGGCCGTTGTTGTTCTCCACATCCAGACATGGAGACCACGGTTTGGGGCAGAAACTGCTCTGGTAGCCCAAACTTGCCAGGACAGGCTGAAACATGTCAAAGTAGTGATCAACTTCCTGTAGGCAAATGATGTCAGGTCTGTAGGTTAGGATCTCCTGCAGGATCAGATACTTCCTTTCAGCCCAGTTCAGAGCATCCATGGGGCACTGCACAAAACTGTCCATGCCTTCACCTAATGCTGCAACAGGACAGAGAGAAGTTGGAAAAAAACGGTTTAAATGAAAATTACTTTAAAGCTGCAGTCTGTAACTTTTTTTGGTTAAAAATGATCCGAAATCAATATTTGAGCAAGTACATAACCAGCCAGTGTTCGAAACTATCGGCTAAATTTAGCCCGATTCACAACGGTCAGTTTATAATAATGTTTTATAATTTGAGTGGTACTGGTAGGTTTTCGCGGGAAATTCGAGCATGCGGCTGCGTCATTACGTCACTTCTGTAAACATAAAGAAGTTGTCCCGGCTACTAGGCTATTGCATGTGAGGATCCTGCAGGTGGCGGATCGTTTATAGCCTTTTCTCACAGCAGCTGGAATAATTAAATGTCAAAAAATCATTTTGATGGCGGATTGTAATCCAGAAAGGATTATATGAAACACATGTGAATGAAATTAAATTATATTCCAGTTTTAAATGTGCTTCTGATTACAGATAGCCTGGGATTACAAAGATTTGTATTTGAAAGAAAACCAGTTCGAAGGGAGCATAATTTGCTTTTTGGGTTAAAAGAATTTCTTGGTATGAAATTCGAATGGTATGACAATTAGAGATTAGACTGTACAGAAACTGAAATCAC